ATTAAAGTTCTTTAAAAAATGAATTTTCCATTTAAATTAAAAAAAATGTATTATTGCTCTGCTTTCTCTGATTTTAATGATGGTAGTGCTGGGGATGTGGAAATCTAGAATAGGAACTCGTAAAATATGCTGGTAACTATTTTACAGTAAGTTTTTCTTCTTAACTGTTTTTTCAAGCCTGTGGATGCAGGACATGTCCCAAGTTTCAAACAGTCTAACCAAAATAAACAAGATAATTTCTGAGCGTTGGCAGGTCTGAAGACAATTAGTTCTCTAGGTACACAGCCTTTCATGAAAGACAGAAGAGACCAAAACTTTAATTCCTAAAGCAACAGCTTAAGTTCTTAAAAAGCTCAAAAAAAATGAAAAACTAGCTGGTCACATGCATATACCAAAGGAGTATACCTTCTGCATGTCACCCCGAATTGCTCGGAAAGCCTGTCAGGGGGACCATCTTCCTTAGTAGAGAGAAAACTCCTCACCCACCCATTTAGTAATGAAGTGGCCTATTTCAGTTATGCTCCAAAAGGGGAAAAATTGGATGTAATTATCCTAGGCAATGGCATCATTCTTTCTCAATGAAAGGTGAAAAAAAACCCTGCCCTGCATTGCTGACCTATGGAAAACAAATATTTGTATTTCCTAAGTTGGTGTTATTTTCAGTCACATAGCAATGGTAAAAAAAAAACAAGTCACAACATCAAATAAAACTTTGTCCTCTGGCAGGAGGAAGGGAAAAAAAAAAATCATTTCATAGGTATCTTAAGCGGACGACGGCTGAACTTAAAGAAACTCAACATTGCAACAGAGCATCTTCGCATGACTTTCTAAAGATACTACTTTCAAAGTTGATTTTGGTGAATTTATTTAAATATCTGACATTAATAAAAGAAATCATGTAATTAACAAAGTAGTAAAAGTTAGAGAAAAATCAAGACAACAGCGAGAAGTTCCAAAAGGTCCCTGATTCCACAGGGACTGATCTCAGTAAAGATGTCAAGGTTGAGTTTTAGAAAAATCATTTATGAAAACTCCTTATGAGCATGTAAAGATGTCGAGCCTGAAAAGTGGTTACTGAATACTATTTTTTATTAATATACACTTCAGCTCACCAACAGAATTAATGTAGTTTTTCTCTCAGATAATCAGTAAGATGAAGGGGGACTATACTTTTAAAAGTTCACATGACAGGATTCTTGAACTGCATTTTGGTATTGGGCTTCTTCATCAAGCTGAAGATTCTAAACAAAATGAAAACATCATCAAAATGGACAAATGCTCAAGATGTACCACAGTCCTTAGTTTAATCATTCACCTTCTAAATTTTTACACAGGAAATGGCACCTAGATGAAGACTCTCCAACTTTATGTGGACTAGATGCTTGTTTCTGTTGCACAGTATCTTTTATTTAACCAAGTACCAAGAGATACACGAGACCGGAGAAGAATCAAATGAGTGGGACAAGGCTCATTGAGCAGAAGGGTCCATCTCCTCTTCCTGGCTCAATTACATTACAGAATAGCCAGCTCAGGAAAGCTGACTCTGTCACGCACTTCTTCTAAGAGGCCTTCCAACCAGCCATAACGGCCTCCATTAATAAACACCGAACGTGATCCCCAGACAACAGTAATCATAGAATGTTGAGAGTACACTGCTTAAAATGAGAAAGCAAACACGTATCGCAGAAGATGGGTGTTAGCCTTCCTACTTTTGTATCTTCCAAGTTCTTAATAAGCCAGAGTAATACACCTTTTTAGTGTGATTCTGGCAGCTTCCCCAAATCAGAATTCCAATCAGCAGTTCTACATCCTCCAACATGCGAGATGCACTCCTCCTGAGGAGGAATACAGGGGATTGGGCTCCTCTTAGCTCCTCCCAATCCTAGGATTGGGATCCTCCTAGCTCTTCACGCCTTTGTCACAGATCACTCAGCGCAAAGAACATGCATCCCCTTTGCCATCTTTAACCGGAGAGGCTGCCTATGCTTCAAATGTTATGCTCATCCCACACAAAGCTCAAGCAGTGTACCCCAAATCCTGTTTCTGTAGAAACTACAACACAAACTCTCCAGCTCTCTGATTCCACATGCAGAACTCAACTGGTTGGCTTGACTTATGATCCACCCAGTGCCTACATCTGTGTCTGTAGCTCTGCATCTACTCCAGGGTCATTTACTCAAAGTGAGCCTGAAAGAAGGCAACCAGAACAATGATTTAATGATACATTTCTTTTTCACATGGCAGCCCCTCTCCAAAAGTACTGGAAGAGAGGCTGTAGCAGCAATACCAGCTAGTCAAGCTGCACTTTGAGTCCTGAGAATCATGATTTAGTCATTTCTGCCATAAAAGTTCAAAAATGTCAATAAGACAGAGTAGCATCTATTTCATTCCCCTCAGAGGCAGCAGTAACAAACTCTTCTGCAGCGATGAATAGTTCAGATTGAGAACACTAAGGTAAAGACTTAAGTTATCAGTTTGGAGCAGAGCTTAGCTGTTGAAAACATCTATTTCCGTTAGCATTTCATGTTGGTAACAGAAAGTTTAGGGACAGGCCTACTTCTGAGTTCTGTACAGAGCAGGAACATAGCATGTCCAGAGCGCAGAGAAGTTTGGTACAAATATTTTATTTGACATTTTTATTTATAGAAAAAAGTTACCATTTATTCCCCTACACATCAAAGAAGAAAAAGCTTACCACAAATTCTCCGTAGTCAAACCGGTGTCTTAGATTTAGATGGCTAACAAGATTTCTAGTAACCTGGTTAGTATCTGCCCAAGGAAGAGATACACAAATGGGACAGATCTGAATTTGGAGAGGAAGGGGAAAGAGAAAGAATTAAAAAAAAAAGTTATTGGTAATACAGAATGCATTAAAGGCATGTTCAACTAGTCTATTACTCATCCACTACTAAACACAGTAGAAAAGTTAACATAAAATCCTAATTCTAAGTGTTCTTTTCCTCAGCTGTGTAACATTCAAAAATTACATTTCAACTCGCCAAATTTCCTAATTGTTTTTCTTAGGAGTGGGGGATTATCACATCTGTCTGATGCTCTTTTTGTCAATTTTGTTGTTTGAAACTTAGAATAGACAGTGATTACTCCAGCCTACTTATTGTTTGGGATGATTTTCATGAAACTGAGATGATCAAGTAAGCCAAAAGAAAAAATAACACAGCCTATACAGATGAAAATAGAAACCCAAACATATTTTTCTCCTTCACTCCCTTTCATTATCTTAGATTACTTCTCACAGAACTGCAGGTTTCACATGAAACAACAGTTAGGTTACAAATAGGATTCTATAGAGACAGTTCTGAACGACTAAATGAAGAAGAGTAAGTGTCAGGCTCAAAAACTGAGTTCATTTCATGTCAAGATAAATGAGACAGCGAAGTCAGAAATGCCTCTGAACCAACAAGAAGCTGGACAAGAAACATTTTCAAATTAAAGTCACTCCCTCAAGTTAAATAATGCACTGCATTAAGTATACTGTCTTTCTCAGACCACAGTGATCTTTACAGATAGAGAGTAGCTACTGCATATTTAAAATTGTTCACATAATTATAACGAAGGTAGCTCAAGAAGCATACATAAGCAACTCTACTTACTACAGGAACTATCTGATAAAGATGTCTATTATTACAGTGATCCAGCAAGCGTTGTCTGGTAAAATTGGCTTCCTGACACAGAGGGCATTTGAAGGTTGGATGTCTACTGTAAACAGAAATACACAGTATTAAACAGAAAAGAGAGTTTTAAAAGTAGGTTACAGAAAGCTTAATTAATCTGTTGTCTTGTCATTACTTTCCCCTATTTTGATAACAACAAAAAAAACCCCCTTCAATGACATAACAGCAGATCTAATGGAGTTCCACTGCTACCTCCAAATTGCAGTTTTAAAGCACCTTTGTTATTTGCACACCTAAATGAATTCTTCTCAGACTCGGATTTTAGAAAATCATTTTGTTACAATTGCAACTGCATCCTGTTCTCACTTACTGGTAACATCTTTTAGTTTAAATCCTTCAGGAAAGTGCAGGAAAAAATGCAAATTCTAACATGTAGATGCAATGTAGAAGAAACTACAGGGTTTTTTTTTAATACAACTTGCTGTAGGCCTTTGTGGGTTTTTTTCACATTAGTAGAACCTTGCGCTATGACTGTCTGGATCTATTTTAATAGTAACTAAAGAAAAATATGCTACTTACCTTGTTTCTCCTTGAAGTATTTGATTATTAGCCATCTCGCCATTACCAGTTATTGCATCACTCCTGCTACTTTAAATGAAGACAAAAAAAAGAGACAATGAAGATTGAGATTATTTTACTATGCAAATTTTTAGAAGTTTAACAGTAACGGGAAAAATATATATATTTTTTGACATGGATGATGGC